GTGGGGGGGAAGGGGCAGGGGCGTACAGAAAGGGGAAGGGAGGGAAAAGGTGGAGTGGAGGTAAGACAACTCTGAAACTTGCACTCCTGACATCAAACAAACTTCTACCGTCAGATATTCTCCAATCGACAATATCAAAAAGATCCAGTCTAAGTCTAAGGAAAATACAGAGTCAGAATAGACAAAAGATGCTCCGAAGCTTGTAAAAAAAACCAAGGCAAGTCTATCTGTTCTTTTCAGAAGACTGGAGATAATATTCACTATGTTTTTCCAAATAAAACATGAGAGGACTGCTCTGCAGTAAGCTGACAAAATACCTTGTTTCACTTTGGTGCCTAAATTTCTTATTTGTTCAATTGAAAGCCTGATCCCTTACCCTACTTGTGTGACAAAATCAAACTGAAACTGCGACTAGTTTGTGAATAAATTCGAATCCAAAATTTCGGGACGACTTTATTTTTAAATGACTATGCTGACAAAAAACTTCTTTTTCTCGAAACTGCTCTGAAGAAAAAAAGGCGTTTTGTCAGCTTAAGGCAGTACTGGGCTTACCATTCTGCTGTTGCGGGCAGTCCATTTCCACGAACTTCAATTTGCCACGAGGAGCTAAGGACAGAAAACGACACAGAAAAATGTCAGTCAACCTCTCCGAAACAAAACACGAATTTTCCCCACTCCCAACACCGACGACAGACAACCTCTGTTTGAGAAATGAGAAACACACATCCACACAATAAAGGTCATTTGTGTCACGACGCGCTGGAACCAGGCGCTCGTCTATTTTTGGACAAATGGAGTTATTGGTATCGTCTTAAAGCTTGATCATTTGTCTGGATTTCCATGAAAAAAATTACCTACCAATCTATCCTCAATTGAAGCCCAGACAGTTTGGATTGAAGGAGGTCAGGGCTACCTCCTGGCTTCTCAGGTAAAATTTGGGAGAAAATGGCCACCAAATTTTGGTGACTTCCAAAGCTTGATAGTCCTTGGAAACTGTAAATTAACATTTCATGTCCCTTTAATTAACTATTGTTTTAGTAAAATAAACACAGAATTGTGTTTTTAAATGGACATAAAAGGTGTTGAGCCAAAATATAAAAATTGGACCAAAATTGCCAAACCAGAAGAAAAAAGCTGTTTACTTTGATAACATTATTTTGACGAGCACCTGATTTCACCACAATGCCTCACATTTAGTTCTGGGAAAAAGTAAGCCAGACAAACAGACAAACAGACAAACACACAGACAGAGAGAAACAACAGAAGGAAAAGAAAAGTCGTAGGACAAACCAGCAGTGCCCTCCAACCACCCGCACGCTGACAACCGATTTCCCAGGAAAATTACGACTTTTCTCCTTTGTGAACTTACAGGGCAAACTTTTCACAGCATTCAAAGCAATTTTGGTTTTTTATTATAGTAGAGGGTTTTACGGTGCTCGCAACTGCATGAGGTCATATGAGCGCCAAGGGGTGGGTGTCAATAGAGAAGTCTTTACAGGGAATCAGGCTTACTCTGCTCACCTCTCTAGCTTCAACAGCACAAGGTCTGCTTCAACTATCAAGGCACCCCGGAAATA